TCGAACTGTTTCGCATATTCAACAATTCCACGCTGGATTAGAGTCATGGTACTGGGATTGCTCAAAGGATTCAACGGATTCCGTTCCTTGCGTCCAGTATCAACTTCAAAGGGCGACATACCGGTAGATGCACTGACGAGAGTATTTTACTTTAGTTGAACGTAAAGTATTAGCTTCTATTCAAAGAAGAAGAGGACCTAATGTTGTAGGTACTTTTGGATACATACAACCGTTAGCTGATGGTCTTAAATTATTTGTAAAAGAAACTATTTTACCAAGTAATGCTGATGTAATTTTATTTATATTTGCACCAATTTTAGCTTTTTTTTTAAGTTTATTAAGTTGGACTGTTATACCTTTAGGATTTGGTATGTTTTTTACTGAATTAAATATAGGTATTTTATATTTATTAGCAATTTCATCATTAGGTGTTTATGGTATTATTATTGGTGGTTGGTCTTCATACTCGGTGCTGATGCCACCTCACAAGAAGCCTTTCACCGTGTGGTCGTGCTTCATCCACGTGGCTTCCCCCTTCTTCCGCGCCAAGTAGAGCGTCAATCTGGCTGGATCAACTTTGAAGCGATCATCGACGTCTTTCTTCTCGTTCAAAGTGACTTGATCATACAATGTATGGGATACGGTTTAAGTTTCGGAACTTCAGAACTACTGGAATTAGATAACTACACCTGCTCTAGTGACGCATTTGTTAAAGTGACAATTCTGACAATGCCTGAGAATTCACATAAGGATAACGCTGACTCGCGTTTTCTTTCTATTAGCGTACGCTAGTGGACGGACTGCATTGATTATGTTACATGTTCCGCTCAACCTGTGCATTTCTGACAAAAATACTCCTCAATATATAGAAACTAAATAATAGTGAGTTTATCTTGAGCGATAAAAAATAAATATATAGAAATAACAATGTGCAAGTACATCTTCCCAGAAGACCACGCAAAGGCGAGCCAACAGTGCGGCTCAAAAGGCGATTGGTGCCGACACCACGCGAAGTATCAGCCAGTAGTTGCTGAATCAGTGATTGCTAAACTAATAGTTGCTGAACCAGTGATTGCTGAACTAGTAGCTGCTGAATCTGTAGTTGTTGTGCCTGCAGTTGCTGAACCAACGATGACCAAGTCTATTGAAGAAATTTATGGTGAGCATTGCATTCAGCACATCAAATCTGTTGATAAATACGATGAAACCAAGTTGGGAGATTCGCGCGTGTTGTCACCAAGTATTTGGATTAAGTCGAAGATGCACGTAGTTGGGGATTCCATCAACTACAAGCACAGTGATGATGGCACACCTGACTTTGGCAACGACGGATACACGTACCTTTTGCAATATCAATTTAATGAACTGGATAAATCGCAGATGCTTAATAATTTCTTCTTTAAGTCCAATGAAGACCGTGAATCATTTGAACAAGCAAACGTTGAATGCGGTGTGGAATACTTCCTTGCAACTCAATCCTACGATGAGCGATTGTATCAATTGTGCATGATGATTCGAGGCGATTTGTTCTCCAACAACCAAAACGTGTGGAATCTCGCTGGATTCTTTGCTCGTCAACCTCATTCTGATTGGCATTTAGTGCGCAAGACCTATCTCTGTGTGCTCAAACAAAAAAGTAGAGCGTTTCAACAAGGAGTATGCTACCAAAGAATTTGATGGTTGGTTTGATTCCAAGTATAATCCATCACTGAACGAAGGCAAACTGAAGGGATTGCTGCTGGTTGTGATTCTGCTGCATACAAGCAATAGAAGGATGACTATGAAGTCAAGGAGCCATGGAAAACAGCCACTTCGAAGACGTTTGAGCTTTCTACACTTGATCAAGATTTCGAATTGACATTCAAGTCTGAGCGGAAGTTGGCAACACTAACTCAGCTGGTGGAGTTAACTGGTCGAACAATTAATGACATGCGTTCAGCCATGGTTGATACGTCATTTGAGAACGATGAGCTTGAATATTGGGCGGAGAAGTATCTAGTGATCGAGAACAAGCCCAATCGTGACTTTGATTTAAATCAATGTGGTAGCTCAGTGCTACTATAGTAGTACTACGCATGAGAGAAGCGCTGCCACTGATGTCGCTGCAAGAATGCTGCGGTGGCCATCCATTTTAAGAAAGCAACTCGGAGAGGATGACTGGAGGAGGTCTGCTGTCGCACTTTTGAATTGCGAATTGAATTGCTCTTCTTGTGTATTAAACACAATTTTCTAATAGTGACTAGACATTAGTTTTTATAAGTGAATAGGGCTACAAAAACCATTATTAGCTGCGAGCTTAAGTGTACTGGTTTTTTGTTCAATAACTGTCTGGAAATATGTACTGGATCGGTAGCTATATCCCAGAGTTATCTATACAGACTGGAAGAAAACAGTACAAAGTGGAACTTCCTCGTGCTCCAGCACGTAGTACGGCTCTGTCTTCGTCCGACACCTCATTCTGCAATCTGCTCGCACTCTCTCATTTCGACTCAAGTGCCCTAGCTGTTGACCCAAACGACAACAAAATGCGCCTCACATGCATCCTTGCAGTGCTAGTCGCGGTCACTTTCCACGCCACTGGTAATGCCAATTCTGCGGTTGCGGGCAAGGCTTCGAATGAATATGGTGTTGACATGATCACCACGACCGCAATCTTCGTCGAGAATCCACGACGAAAGCATCTCTTCATACTCGGTGCTGATGCCACATCACAAGAAGCCTTTCACCGTGTGGTCGTGCTTCATCCACGTGGCTTCCCCCTTCTTCCGCGCCAAGTAGAGCGTCAATCTGGCTGGATCAACTTTGAAGCGATCATCGACGTCTTTCTTCTCGTTCACATGGCCTTCTGCAGCGCGCTCACTTTCGCGTTGCTCGCTATCTTCACGGGAAACACAGTCCCTTCGCCGTATACCGCGCACTCCAACTCGACCTCTGCCATCTTCGTGCGGAAAGTTCTCGACTGAGCAGCAGCACTCATTCACGCAGCACACCGCACAGTTTTAGCCAATCACATCACTTTAAAATAATTATTTTATTTCTGACAAAAATACTCCTCAATATATAGAAACTAAATAATAGTGAGTTCATCTTGAGCGATAAAAAATAAATATATAGAAATAACAATGTGCAAGTACATCTTCCCAGAAGACCACGCAAAGGCGAGCCAACAGTGCGGCTCAAAAGGCGATTGGTGCCGACACCACGCGAAGTATCAGCCAGTAGTTGCTGAACCAGTGATTGCTAAACTAATAGTTGCTGAACCAGTGATTGCTGAACTAGTAGCTGCTGAATCTGTAGCTGTTGTGCCTGCAGTTGCTGAACCAACGATGACCAAGTCTATTGAAGAAATTTATGGTGAGCATTGCATTCAGCACATCAAATCTGTTGATAAATACGATGAACCCAGGTTGGGAGATTCGCGCGTGTTGTCACCAAGTAATTGGATCAAGTCGAAGATGCACGCAGTTGGGGATTCCATCAACTACAAGCACAGTGATGATGGCACACCTGACTTTGGCAACGACGGATACACGTACCTTTTGCAATATCAATTTAATGAACTGGATGAATCGCAGATGCTTGATAATTTCTTCTTTAAGTCCAATGAAGACCGTGAATCATTTGAACAAGCAAACGTTGAATGCGGTGTGGAATACTTCCTTGCAGCTCAATCCTACGATGAGCATTTGTATCAATTGTGCATGATGATTCGAGGCGATTTGTTCTCCAACAACTAAAACGTGTGGAATCTCGCTGGATTCTTTGCTTGTCAAGTTCATTCGGATTGGCATTTAGTGCGCAAGACCTATCTCTGTGTGCTCAAACAAAAAAGTAGAGCGTTTCAACAAGGAGTATGCTACCAAAGAATTTGATGGTTGGTTTGATTCCAAGTATAATCCATCACTGAACGAAGGCAAACTGAAGGGATTGCTGCTGGTTGTGATTCTGCTGCATACAAGCAATAGAAGGATGACTATGAAGTCAAGGAGCCAGGGAAAACAGCTACTTCGAAGAAGTTTGAGCTTTCTACACTTGATCAAGATTTCGAATTGACATTCAAGTCTGAGCGGAAGTTGGCAACACTAACTCAGCTGGTGGAGTTAACTGGTCGAACAATTAATGACATGCGTTCAGCCATGGTTGATACGTCATTTGAGAACGATGAGCTTGAATATTGGGCGGAGAAGTATCTAGTGATCGAGAACAAGCCCAATCGTGACTTTGATTTAAATCAATGTGGTAGCTCAGTGCTACTATAGTAGTACTACGCATGAGAAAAGTGCTGCCACTGATGTCGCTGCAAGAATGCTGCGGTGGCCATCCATTTTAAGAAAGCAACTCGGAGAGGATGACTGGAGGAGGTCTGCTGTCGCACTTTTGAATTGCGAATTGAATTGCTCTTTTTGTGTATTAAACACAATTTTCTAATAGTGACTAGACATTAGTTTTTATAAGTGAATAGGGCTACAAAAACCATTATTAGCTGCGAACTTAAGTGTACTGGTTTTTTGTTCAATAACTGTCTGGAAATATGTACTGGATCGGTAGCTATATCCCAGAGTTATTTGTACAGACTGGAAGAAAACAGTACAAAGTGGAACTTCCTCGTGCTCCAGCACGTAGTACGGCTCTGTCTTCGTCCGACACCTCATTCTGCAATCTGCTCGCACTCTCTCATTTCGACTCAAGTGCCCTAGCTGTTGACCCAAACGACAAAAAAATGCGTTTCACATGCATCCTTGCAGTGCTAGTCGCGGTCACTTTCCACGCCACTGGTAATGCCAATTCTGCGGTTGCGGGCAAGGCTTCGAATGAATATGGTGTTGACATGATCACCACGACCGCAATCTTCGTCGAGAATCCACGACGAAAGCATCTCTTCATACTCGGTGCTGATGCCACCTCACAAGAAGCCTTTCACCGTGTGGTCGTGCTTCATCCACGTGGCTTCCCCCTTCTCCCGCGCCAAGTAGAGCGTCAATCTGGCTGGATCAACTTCGAAGCGATCATCGACATCTTTCTTCTCGTTCACATGGCCTTCTGCAGCGCGCTCACTTTCGCGTTGCTCGCTATCTTCACGGGAAACACAGTCCCTTCGCCGTATACCGCGCACTCCAACTCGACCTCTGCCATCTTCGTGCGGAAAGTTCTCGACTGAGCAGCAGCACTCATTCACGCAGCACACCGCACCGTTTTAGCCAATCACATCACTTTAAAATAATATTTTTATTTCTGACAAAAATACTCCTCAATATATAGAAACTAAATAATAGTGAGTTCATCTTGAGCGATAAAAAATAAATATATAGAAATAACAATGTGCAAGTACATCTTCCCAGAAGACCACGCAAAGGCGAGCCAACAGTGCGGCTCAAAAGGCGATTGGTGCCGACACCACGCGAAGTATCAGCCAGTAGTTGCTGAACCAGTGATTGCTAAACTAGTAGTTGCTGAACCAGTGATTGCTGAACTAGTAGCTGCTGAACCTGTAGTTGTTGTGCCTGCAGTTGCTGAACCAACGATGACCAAGTCTACTGAAGAAATTTATGGTGAGCATTGCATTCAGCACATCAAATCTGTTGATAAATACGATGAACCCAAGTTGGGAGATTCGCGCGTGTTGTCACCAAGTATTTGGATCAAGTCGAAGATGCACGTAGTTGGGGATTCCATCAACTACAAGCACAGTGATGATGGCACACCTGACTTTGGCAACGACGGATACACGTACCTTTTGCAATATCAATTTAATGAACTGGATAAATCGCAGATGCTTAATAATTTCTTCTTTAAGTCCAATGAAGACCGTGAATCATTTGACCAAGTCTATTGAAGAAATTTATGGTGAGCATTGCATTCAGCACATCAAATCTGTTGATAAATACGATGAACCCAAGTTGGGAGATTCGCGCGTGTTGTCACCAAGTATTTGGATCAAGTCGAAGATGCACGCAGTTGGGGATTACATCAACTACAAGCACAGTGATGATGGCACACCTGACTTTGGCAACGACGGATACACGTACCTTTTGCAATATCAATTTAATGAGCTGGATGAATCGCAGATGCTTAATAATTTCTTCTTTAAGTCCAATGAAGACCGTGAATCATTTGAACAAGCAAACGTTGAATGCGGTGTGGAATACTTCCTTGCAACTCAATCCTACGATGAGCATTTGTATCAATTGTGCATGATGATTCGAGGCGATTGGTTCTCCAACAATTAAAACGTGTGGAATCTCGCTGGATTCTTTGCTTGTCAAGTTCATTCGGATTGGCATTTAGTGCGCAAGACCTATCTCTGTGTGCTCAAACAAAAAAGTAGAGCGTTTCAACAAGGAGTATGCTACCAAAGAATTTGATGGTTGGTTTGATTCCAAGTATAATCCATCACTGAAAGAAGGCAAACTGAAAGGGATTGCTGCTGGTTGTGATTCTGCTGCATACAAGCAATAGAAGGATGACTATGAAGTCAAGGAGCCAGGGAAAACAGCTACTTCGAAGACGTTTGAGCTTTCTACACTTGATCAAGATTTCGAATTGACATTCAAGTCTGAGCGGAAGTTGGCAACACTAACTCAGCTGGTGGAGTTAGCTGGTCGAACAATTAATGACATGCGTTCAGCCATGGTTGATACGTCATTTGAGAACGATGAGCTTGAATATTGGGCGGAGAAGTATCTAGTGATCGAGAACAAGCCCAATCGTGACTTTGATTTAAATCAATGTGGTAGCTCAGTGCTTCTATAGTAGTACTACGCATGAGAAAAGTGCTGCCACTGATGTCGCTGCAAGAATGCTGCGGTGGCCATCCATTTTAAGAAAGCAACTCGGAGAGGATGACTGGAGGAGGTCTGCTGTCGCACTTTTGAATTGCGAATTGAATTGCTCTTTTTGTGTATTAAACACAATTTTCTAATAGTGACTAGACATTAGTTTTTATAAGTGAATAGGGCTACAAAAACCATTATTAGCTGCGAACTTAAGTGTACTGGTTTTTTGTTCAATAACTGTCTGGAAATATGTACTGGATCGGTAGCTATATCCCATCGTTATTTGTACAGACTGGAAGAAAACAGTACAAAGTGGAACTTCCTCGTGCTCCAGCACGTAGTACGGCTCTGTCTTCGTCCGACACCTCATTCTGCAATCTGCTCGCACTCTCTCATTTCGACTCAAGTGCCCTAGCTGTTGACCCAAACGACAACAAAATGCGCCTCACATGCATCCTTGCAGTGCTAGTCGCGGTCACTTTCCACGCCACTGGTAATGCCAATTCTGCGGTTGCGGGCAAGGCTTCGAATGAATATGGTGTTGACATGATCACCACGACCGCAATCTTCGTCGAGAATCCACGACGAAAGCATCTCTTCATACTCGGTGCTGATGCCACCTCACAAGAAGCCTTTAACCGTGTGGTCGTGCTTCATCCACGTGGCTTCCCCCTTCTTCCGCGCCAAGTAGAGCGTCAACCTGGCTGGATCAACTTTGAAGCGATCATTGACGTCTTTCTTCTCGTTCACAATGGCCTTCTGCAGCGCGCTCACTTTCGCATTGCTCGCTATCTTCACGGGAAACACAGTCCCTTCGCCGTATACCGCGCACTCCAACTCGACCTCTGCCATCTTCGTGCGGAAAGCTCTCGACTGAGCAGCAGCACTCATTCACGCAGCACACCGCACCGTTTTAGCCAATCACATCACTTCAAAATAATTATTTTTATTTCTGACAAAAATATTCCTCAATATATAGAAACTAAAAATTAGTGAGTTCATCTTGAGCGATAAAATTAAATATATAGAAATAACAATGTGCAAGTACATCTTCCCAGAAGACCACGCAAAGGCGAGCCAACAGTGCGGCTCAAAAGGCGATTGGTGCCGACACCACGCGAAGTATCAGCCAGTAGTTGCTGAACCAGTGATTGCTAACTAGTAGTTGCTGAACCAGTGATTGCTGAACTAGTAGCTGCTGAACCTGTAGTTGTTGTGCCTGCAGTTGCTGAGCCAACGATGACCAAGTCTATTGAAGAAATTTATGGTGAGCATTGCATTCAGCACATCAAATCTGTTGATAAATACGATGAACCCAGGTTGGGAGATTCGCGCGTGTTGTCACCAAGTAATTGGATCAAGTCGAAGATGCACGCAGTTGGGGATTCCATCAACTACAAGCACAGTGATGATGGCACACCTGACTTTGGCAACGACGGATACACGTACCTTTTGCAATATCAATTTAATGAACTGGATGAATCGCAGATGCTTGATAATTTCTTCTTTAAGTCCAATGAAGACCGTGAATCATTTGAACAAGCAAACGTTGAATGCGGTGTGGAATACTTCCTTGCAACTCAATCCTACGATGAGCGATTGTATCAATTGTGCATGATGATTCGAGGCGATTTGTTCTCCAACAACCAAAACGTGTGGAATCTCGCTGGATTCTTTGCTTGTCAAGTTCATTCGGATTGGCATTTAGTGCGCAAGACCTATCTCTGTGTGCTCAAACAAAAAAGTAGAGCGTTTCAACAAGGAGTATGCTACCAAAGAATTTGATGGTTGGTTTGATTCCAAGTATAATCCATCACTGAACGAAGGCAAACTGAAGGGATTGCTGCTGGTTGTGATTCTGCTGCATACAAGCAATAGAAGGATGACTATGAAGTCAAGGAGCCATGGAAAACAGCCACTTCGAAGACGTTTGAGCTTTCTACACTTGATCAAGATTTCGAATTGACATTCAAGTCTGAGCGGAAGTTGGCAACACGAACTCAGCTGGTGGAGTTAACTGGTCGAACAATTAATGACATGCGTTCAGCCATGGTTGATACGTCATTTGAGAACGATGAGCTTGAATATTGGGCGGAGAAGTATCTAGTGATCGAGAACAAGCCCAATCGTGACTTTGATTTAAATCAATGTGGTAGCTCAGTGCTACTATAGTAGTACTACGCATGGGAAAAGTGCTGCCACTGATGTCGCTGCAAGAATGCTGCGGTGGCCATTCATTTTAAGAAAGCAACTCGGAGAGGATGACTGGAGGAGGTCTGCTGTCGCACTTTTGAATTGCGAATTGAATTGCTCTTCTTGTGTATTAAACACAATTTTCTAATAGTGACTAGACATTAGTTTTTATAAGTGAATAGGGCTACAAAAACCATTATTAGCTGCAAACTTAAGTGTACTGGTTTTTTGTTCAATAACTGTCTGGAAATATGTACTGGATCGGTAGCTATATCCCATCGTTATTTGTACAGACTGGAAGAAAACAGTACAAAGTGGAACTTCCTCGTGCTCCAGCACGTAGTACGGCTCTGTCTTCGTCCGACACCTCATTCTGCAATCTGCTCGCACTCTCTCATTTCGACTCAAGTGCCCTAGCTGTTGACCCAAACGACAAAAAAATGCGCCTCACATGCATCCTTGCAGTGCTAGTCGCGGTCACTTTCCACGCCACTGGTAATGCCAATTCTGCGGTTGCGGGCAAAGCTTCGAGTGAATATGGTGTTGACATGATCACCACGACCGCAATCTTCGTCGAGAATTCACGACGAAAGCATCTCTTCATACTCGGTGCTGATGCCACGCCTTTCACCGTGTGGTCGTGCTTCATCCACGTGGCTTCCCCCTTCTTCCGCGCCAAGTAGAGCGTCAATCTGGCTGGATCAACTTTGAAGCGATCATCGACATCTGTCTTCTCGTTCACATGGCCTTCTGCAGCGCGCTCACTTTCGCGTTGCTCGCTATCTTCACGGGAAACACAGTCTCTTCGCCGTATACCGCGCACTCCAACTCGACCTCTGCCATCTTCGTGCGGAAAGTTCTCGACTGAGCAGCAGCACTCATTCACGCAGCACACCGCACAGTTTTAGCCAATCACATCACTTTAGAATAATATTTTTATTTCTGACAAAATACTCCTCAATATATAGAAACTAAATAATAGTGAGTTCATCTTGAGCGATAAAAAATAAATATATAGAAATAACAATGTGCAAGTACATCTTCCCAGAAGACCACGCAAAGGCGAGCCAACAGTGCGGCTCAAAAGGCGATTGGTGCCGACACCACGCGAAGTATCAGCCAGTAGTTGCTGAATCAGTGATTGCTAAACTAGTAGTTGCTGAACCAGTGATTGCTGAACTAGTAGCTGCTGAACCTGTAGTTGTTGTGCCTGCAGTTGCTGAACCAACGATGACCAAGTCTATTGAAGAAATTTATGGTGAGCATTGCATTCAGCACATCAAATCTGTTGATAAATACGATGAAATCAAGTTGGGAGATTCGCGCGTGTTGTCACCAAGTAATTGGATCAAGTCGAAGATGCACGCAGTTGGGGATTCCATCAACTACAAGCACAGTGATGATGGCACACCTGACTTTGGCAACGACGGATACACGTACCTTTTGCAATATCAATTTAATGAACTGGATGAATCGCAGATGCTTGATAATTTCTTCTTTAAGTCCAATGAAGACCGTGAATCATTTGAACAAGCAAACGTTGAATGCGGTGTGGAATACTTCCTTGCAGCTCAATCCTACGATGAGCATTTGTATCAATTGTGCATGATGATTCGAGGCGATTTGTTCTCCAACAACCAAAACGTGTGGAATCTCGCTGGATTCTTTGCTTGTCAAGTTCATTCGGATTGGCATTTAGTGCGCAAGACCTATCTCTGTGTGCTCAAACAAAAAAGTAGAGCGTTTCAACAAGGAGTATGCTACCAAAGAATTTGATGGTTGGTTTGATTCCAAGTATAATCCATCACTGAAAGAAGGCAAACTGAAAGGGATTGCTGCTGGTTGTGATTCTGCTGCATACAAGCAATAGAAGGATGACTATGAAGTCAAGGAGCCATGGAAAACAGCCACTTCGAAGACGTTTGAGCTTTCTACACTTGATCAAGATTTCGAATTGACATTCAAGTCTGAGCGGAAGTTGGCAACACTAACTCAGCTGGTGGAGTTAACTGGTCGAACAATTAATGACATGCGTTCAGCCATGGTTGATACGTCATTTGAGAACGATGAGCTTGAATATTGGGCGGAGAAGTATCTAGTGATCGAGAACAAGCCCAATCGTGACTTTGATTTAAATCAATGTGGTAGCTCAGTGCTACTATAGTAGTACTACGCATGAGAAAAGTGCTGCCACTGATGTCGCTGCAAGAATGCTGCGGTGGCCATCCATTTTAAGAAAGCAACTCGGAGAGGATGACTGGAGGAGGTCTGCTGTCGCACTTTTGAATTGCGAATTGAATTGCTCTTCTTGTGTATTAAACACAATTTTCTAATAGTGACTAGACATTGGTTTTTATAAGTGAATAGGGCTACAAAAACCATTATTAGCTGCGAACTTAAGTGTACTGGTTTTTTGTTCAATAACTGTCTGGAAATATGTACTGGATCGGTAGCTATATCCCAGAGTTATTTGTACAGACTGGAAGAAAACAGTACAAAGTGGAACTTCCTCGTGCTCCAGCACGTAGTACGGCTCTGTCTTCGTCCGACACCTCATTCTGCAATCTGCTCGCACTCTCTCATTTCGACTCATGTGCCCTAGCTGTTGACCCAAACGACAAAAAAATGCGCCTCACATGCATCCTTGCAGTGCTAGTCGCGGTCACTTTCCACGCCACTGGTAATGCCAATTCTGCGGTTGCGGGCAAGGCTTCGAATGAATATGGTGTTGACATGATCACCACGACCGCAATCTTCGTCGAGAATCCACGACGAAAGCATCTCTTCATACTCGGTGCTGATGCCACCTCACAAGAAGCCTTTCACCGTGTGGTCGTGCTTCATCCACGTGGCTTCCCCCTTCTTCCGCGCCAAGTAGAGCGTCAATCTGGCTGGATCAACTTTGAAGCGATCATCGACGTCTTTCTTCTCGTTCACATGGCCTTCTGCAGCGCGCTCACTTTCGCGTTGCTCGCTATCTTCACGGGAAACACAGTCCCTTCGCCGTATACCGCGCACTCCAACTCGACATCTGCCATCTTCGTGCGGAAAGTTCTCGACTGAGCAGCAGCACTCATTCAGAGTGCTGCTGCTCAGTTTTAGCCAATCACATCACTTTAAAATAATTATTTTATTTCTGACAAAAATACTCCTCAATATATAGAAACTAAATAATAGTGAGTTCATCTTGAGCGATAAAAAATAAATATATAGAAATAACAATGTGCAAGTACATCTTCCCAGAAGACCACGCAAAGGCGAGCCAACAGTGCGGCTCAAAAGGCGATTGGTGCCGACACCACGCGAAGTATCAGCCAGTAGTTGCTGAATCAGTGATTGCTAAACTAGTAGTTGCTGAACCAGTGATTGCTGAACTAGTAGCTGCTGAACCTGTAGTTGTTGTGCCTGCAGTTGCTGAACCAACGATGACCAAGTCTATTGAAGAAATTTATGGTGAGCATTGCATTCAGCACATCAAATCTGTTGATAAATACGATGAACCCAGGCTGGGAGATTCGCGCGTGTTGTCACCAAGTAATTGGATCAAGTCGAAGATGCACGCAGTTGGGGATTCCATCAACTACAAGCACAGTGATGATGGCACACCTGACTTTGGCAACGACGGATACACGTACCTTTTGCAATATCAATTTAATGAACTGGATGAATCGCAGATGCTTGATAATTTCTTCTTTAAGTCCAATGAAGACCGTGAATCATTTGAACAAGCAAACGTTGAATGCGGTGTGGAATACTTCCTTGCAGCTCAATCCTACGATGAGCATTTGTATCAATTGTGCATGATGATTCGAGGCGATTTGTTCTCCAACGACCAAAACGTGTGGAATCTCGCTGGATTCTTCGCTCGTCAACCTCATTCTGATTGGCATTTAGTGCGCAAGACCTATCTCTGTGTGCTCAAACAAAAAGTAGAGCGTTTCAACAAGGAGTATGCTACCAAAGAATTTGATGGTTGGTTTGATTCCAAGTATAATCCATCACTGAACGAAGGCAAACTGAAAGGGATTGCTGCTGGTTGTGATTCTGCTGCATACAAGCAATAGAAGGATGACTGTGAAGTCAAGGAGCCAGGGAAAGCAGCTACTTCGAAGACGTTTGAGCTTTCTACACCTGATCAAGATTTCGAATTGACATTCAAGTCTGAGCGGAAGTTGGCAACACTAACTCAGCTGGTGGAGTTAGCTGGTCGAACAATTAATGACATGCGTTCAGCCATGGTTGATACGTCATTTGAGAACGATGAGCTTGAATATTGGGCGGAGAAGTATCTAGTGATCGAGAACAAGCCCAATCGTGACTTTGATTTAAATCAATGTGGTAGCTCAGTGCTACTATAGTAGTACTACGCATGAGAAAAGTGCTGCCACTGATGTCGCTGCAAGAATGCTGCGGTGGCCATCCATTTTAAGAAAGCAACTCGGAGAGGATGACTGGAGGAGGTCTGCTGTCGCACTTTTGAATTGCGAATTGAATTGCTCTTCTTGTGTATTAAACACAATTTTCTAATAGTGACTAGACATTAGTTTTTATAAGTGAATAGGACTACAAAAACCATTATTAGCTGCGAACTCAAGTGTACTGGTTTTTTTGTTCAATAACTGTCTGGAAATATGTACTGGATCGGTAGCTATATCCCAGCGTTATTTGTACAGACTGGAAGAAAACAGTACAAAGTGGAACTTCCTCGTGCTCCAGCACGTAGTACGGCTCTGTCTTCGTCCGACACCTCATTCTGCAATCTGCTCGCACTCTCTCATTTCGACTCAAGTGCCCTAGCTGTTGACCCAAACGACAAAAAAATGCGCCTCACATGCATCCTTGCAGTGCTAGTCGCGGTCACTTTCCACGCCACTGGTAATGCCAATTCTGCGGTTGCGGGCAAGGCTTCGAATGAATATGGTGTTGACATGATCACCACGACCGCAATTTTCGTCGAGAATCCACGACGAAAGCATCTCTTCATACTCGGTGCTGATGCCACCTCACAAGAAGCCTTTCACCGTGTGGTCGTGCTTCATCCACGTGGCTTCCCCCTTCTTCCGCGCCAAGTAGAGCGTCAACCTGGCTGGATCAACTTTGAAGCGATCATTGACGTCTTTCTTCTCGTTCACAATGGCCTTCTGCAGCGCGCTCACTTTCGCATTGCTCGCTATCTTCACGGGAAACACAGTCCCTTCGCCGTATACCGCGCACTCCAACTCGACCTCTGCCATCTTCGTGCGGAAAGTTCTCGACTGAGCAGCAGCACTCATTCACGCAGCACACCGCACCGTTTTAGCCAATCACATCACTATAAAATAATATTTTTATTTCTGACAAAAATACTCCTCAATATATAGAAACTAAATAATAGTGAGTTCATCTTGAGCGATAAAAAATAAATATATAGAAATAACAATGTGCAAGTACATCTTCCCAGAAGACCACGCAAAGGCGAGCCAACAGTGCGGCTCAAAAGGCGATTGGTGCCGACACCACGCGAAGTATCAGCCAGTAGTTGCTGAACCAGTGATTGCTAAACTAATAGTTGCTGAACCAGTAATTGCTGAACTAGTAGCTGCTGAATCTGTAGTTGTTGTGCCTGCAGTTGCTGAACCAACGATGACCAAGTCTATTGAAGAAATTTATGGTGAGCATTGCATTCAGCACATCAAATCTGTTGATAAATACGATGAAACCAGGTTGGGAGATTCGCGCGTGTTGTCACCAAGTAATTGGTTCAAGTCGAAGATGCACGCAGTTGGGGATTCCATCAACTACAAGCACAGTGATGATGGCACACCTGACTTTGGCAACGACGGATACACGTACCTTTTGCAATATCAATTTAATGAACTGGATGAATCGCAGATGCTTGATAATTTCTTCTTTAAGTCCAATGAAGACCGTGAATCATTTGAACAAGCAAACGTTGAATGCGGTGTGGAATACTTCCTTGCAGCTCAATCCTACGATGAGCATTTGTATCAATTGTGCATGATGATTCGAGGCGATTTGTTCTCCAACAACCAAAACGTGTGGAATCTCGCTGGATTCTTTGCTTGCCAAGTTCATTCGGATTGGCATTTAGTGCGCAAGACCTATCTCTGTGTGCTCAAACAAAAAAGTAGAGCGTTTCAACAAGGTGTATGCTACCAAAGAATTTGATGGTTGGTTTGATTCCAAGTATAATCCATCACTGAAAGAAGGCAAACTGAAAGGGATTGCTGCTGGTTGTGATTCTGCTGCATACAAGCAATAGAAGGATGACTATGAAGTCAAGGAGCCATGGAAAACAGCTACTTCGAAGACGTTTGAGCTTTCTACACTTGATCAAGATTTCGAATTGACATTCAAGTCTGAGCGGAAGTTGGCAACACTAACTCAGCTGGTGGAGTTAGCTGGTCGAACAATTAATGACATGCGTTTAACCATGGTTGATACGTCATTTGAGAGCGATGAGCTTGAATATTGGGCGGAGAAGTATCTAGTGATCGAGAACAAGCCCAATCGTGACTTTGATTTAAATCAATGTGGTAGCTCAGTGCTACTATAGTAGTACTACGCATGAGAAAAGTGATGCCACTGATGTCGCTGCAAGAATGCTGCGGTGGCCATCCATTTTAAGAAAGCAACTCGGAGAAGATGACTGGAGGAGGTCTGCTGTCGCACTTTTGAATTGCGAATTGAATTGCTCTTCTTGTGTATTAAACACAATTTTCTAATAGTGACTAGACATTGTTTTTATAAGTGAATAGGACTACAAAAACCATTATTAGCTGCAAACTTAAGTGTACTGGTTTTTTGTTCAATAACTGTCTGGAAATATGTACTGGATCGGTAGCTATATCCCAGCGTTATTTGTACAGACTGGAAGAAAACAGTACAAAGTGGAACTTCCTCGTGCTCCAGCACGTAGTACGGCTCTGTCTTCGTCCGACACCTCATTCTGCAATCTGCTCGCACTCTCTCATTTCGACTCAAGTGCCCTAGCTGTTGACCCAAACGACAAAAAAATGCGCCTCACATGCATCCTTGCAGTGCTAGTCGCGGTCACTTTCCACGCCACTGGTAATGCCAATTCTGCGGTTGCGGGCAAAGCTTCGAATGAATATGGTGTTGACATGATCACCACGACCGCAATCTTCGTCGAGAATCCACGACGAAAGCATCTCTTCATACTCGGTGCTGATGCCACCTCACAAGAAGCCTTTCACCGTGTGGTCGTGCTTCATCCACGTGGCTTCCCCCTTCTTCCGCGCCAAGTAGAGCGTCAATCTGGCTGGATCAACTTTGAAGCGATCATCGACGTCTTTCTTCTCGTTCACATGGCCTTCTGCAGCGCGCTCACTTTCGCGTTGCTCGCTATCTTCACGGGAAACACAGTCCCTTCGCCGTATACCGCGCACTCCAACTCGACCTCTGCCATCTTCGTGCGGAAAGTTCTCGACTGAGCAGCAGCACTCATTCACGCAGCACACCGCACCGTTTTAGCCAATCACATCACTTTAAAATAATATTTTTATTTCTGACAAAAATACTCCTCAATATATAGAAACTAAATAATAGTGAGTTCATCTTGAGCGATAAAAAATAAATATATAGAAATAACAATGTGCAAGTACATCTTCCCAGAAGACCACGCAAAGGCGAGCCAACAGTGCGGCTCAAAAGGCGATTGGTGCCGACACCACGCGAAGTATCAGCCAGTAGTTGCTGAACCAGTGATTGCTAAACTAATAGTTGCTGAACCAGTGATTGCTGAACTAGTAGCTGCTGAATCTGTAGCTGTTGTGCCTGCAGTTGCTGAACCAACGATGACCAAGTCTATTGAAGAAATTTATGGTGAGCATTGCATTCAGCACATCAAATCTGTTGATAAATACGATGAACCCAAGTTGGGAGATTCGCGCGTGTTGTCACCAAGTATTTGGATCAAGTCGAAGATGCACGCAGTTGGGGATTCCATCAACTACAAGCACAGTGATGATGGCACACCTGACTTTGGCAACGACGGATACACGTACCTTTTGCAATATCAATTTAATGAACTGGATGAATCG